ATTTGATAAAGCCAATTCAAATTTACTTGGAACCATGAAGAAGTATTAAAGAAAATTGTACTTTAGAAGTGTACTTTTGAAAATTCTATTATTTTGGGTATTTTTCAGCAAATAACTCGTTTTAGTACATTAGGCATCTTCTTAAAACTGATTTATAGTTAATATACAAAATACAGAGCACTAAAACAATTCAGCTCTGTTTCAGCCTGTAATGGCAGATGAGTTGAATCAGTCATCACAAAGTCAATATATGCTTGTCTTCCATGAAATATAAGCGATGACGATTCAGTATATTACATATCTGATTGCACATATCAATTGACTGCATAATCAAAAATGTAGCAACTTTTCTCATGTTTCTCAGTTATCCAGATTTTGACAAGCTCGAGTAGACACATCTCGAAAACGTCATCAAAAAGATCACAAATTATGACGATGTCATTTGTCTGAATAATATTTGCTTCAGCAGTTTTTTCTCTAAAGATGAATTGATAATTCAAAGATTCATTCATCGTATAAACTTGCATACTCACTAACCATGTTACTTCGAATAACTATGTATGAAAGAAATTTTTGAATGCAGTAATGAATATAAACTTTATAAACTTTTTCCTTCTATTCTTATTTCTGAAATATAATTTTTCATCAATCTATCTGAAAACACATAACCAATTTCGGTAATAAATCCCTATCATCTTCCTTGATCCAAGATCTATAGAGAGATCTTCTGGTAAGTAGTTCAGTACATCAAAATCGATTTTTTTCACACTCGAGAAAACCAAGCTATGAAAAACCTATATAAGTATTGAATATTATCTAACTTGCAGTGCCAATAGGAACCAATAATAATCAGAATACCCATTTCATAGTCCTCTAGTACACCTATTCCACATCGGCACAAAAAAATAATCTAAATCGCTATTCTCTTAACGATTACTAGAGTTTAACTTCAATTGTTCAAACATAAGTACTGTTAGTAATGAGATTTTCCTGTTCTAGTAGCCATAAATTGTATTGCATATTGAAAAATGACTAGCTGAAATCACTTTAGTTGTTAGATTGCCAGTTTCCAAAAAATATCCTATAGGACTGCGACAACATCAGGGAAAATAAAACATTTTGCTTAATTTTCAATCTTCTTAGATGCCATTCTAGACGATATTTATGATGATTACACTGATGATACTCTTGATGCTGTTTATGGAAACTATTCAAGTGCACTAACAAACACTAGTGACATTTTCTTTCGAAGAAATGATTCTAACA